AAAAAAAGACATTCATGCCCTTTGATCTAGAGTTGGGTAGATATTTTGAGAAAGCCAAAGACACAAAGAAAGATCTGACATTTACTAAAATATTCATAGAAGTAAAAAATTAGGAACTAAGATGTTTATTGAGAAATGTTTAAACAAATTGTGGTACATGAATTGATGTAATATTATTGTGTTGTAAGAAATGATGAATATGAAGAATTCCAAGAAGCAGGGAAGGCTTACATGACTAAAGCAGAGTGAAATAAACAGAACCAGTAAAACATATATGACTACAACATCAGTAGAAAGAACAGACAACAAAAATCCCCAAACTAAAACCCTGTTTGATTATAATAACCAAGTTTGGGCCTGGAGAAGAATTAAGAAAATGTATTTCTTTGTAGAGATGGAAGATTATGTGTGTGGAACATATACTACTAGACTTGATTGATTCATCGGTTACTAATGCTGAGCTATTTTTTCTCTTTTTTTGTTAATGTTATAGGAGATGGTGTAGGGATAACAATGGTATAAGCAACTTCGTTTTTAAACTGGATTCTAGTTCAGTAGTTTTTCAGTTCTGTCTAACTCTTTGTGACCCCATTTGAGGTCTTCTTGGCAAAGATTTGTCATTTCCTTCTGCAGCTCATTTTACAGATGAGGAAACTGAGGCAAACAGGGTTAAGTGACTTGCCTGGGGTCACACAGCTAGTAAATTTCTGAGGCTGGATTTGTACTCAGGAATGTGAGTCCTCCTAACTCCAGGCCAGGCACTTTATCCCCTTCAGCACCTAGCTGCCCTAACTGGATTCCATTCTGTGATTAATTTGATTTTTTCTAATAAGATAAACATCTTTGTGATTTAGTTTGATAAACAACATGTGTATACCTCAGACCTGGAAACCAACATATACACCCTCAGATAACCACTAGTCGAGGTTATCTCTTCAGGTTGTCTTTGGCCCTCCTCTATCATGCTCCAGCTCTTATCTTGAAGCCTCACTGCAACCCTGGAATTCACACATTGGAAGTGCACTCTGCCCCTCCATCTTTCCCTCAAATTGGATGGCTCCTTCTAGAAGCTTGATTTAAGGAGGGCACCCACACTAGCAATGTCTCATTCCTCTCAAGGCTTCACTGGTGACTTCTTCTACCATCCCCACCCCTACACTGGTTATCATTTCCTCTCTTCCCACTTTTTCAGCTTCCTTTAATGGAGTGGTCTTTCCCCATTAGAATCTAAGTTCCTGGAGGACAGGGACTGTCTTTCTTTCTACTACCTGATGTCATGGTCTTCTTCAAGAAGAAAGGACAAAACACAACCTGAGTGGTAGTAACTGCCCCACTGGGGACCCAACTGGCCAGTTCCAGTTGGGCAACACAGCCTGCTCCTTTCTTTCTTTCCTCCTTCCTTTCTCCCTACCTCGTTTCCCTCTGTCCACATAGGGAATCATACCTTTACCTGTGGGCACTCTGCCTAAAGGAATATAAATTTCGATCACTGAAATCTTGCAAAATATCTTAAGGACCATGCCTTAAACCCAAATCACCCTGGCTGTCATTACTTGCTGTTCCTCATCTGTGTCATTCCATCTTCCACCAGTGCCTTTGCTCTTTAGCACAGTTCTTGGAAGCTCTTTCTCCTTTCAAGGGTTAGCTCAGGTACTACTCCTTGCCCTACCTCCACTCCACCAACGCTAACTTTATACTTACAGTTTATAAAGCTCAGATTGATTTATCTCCAAAGGGAATGAAAATTTTGATATCTGAAACCTTTTTTCTCCTTGAGGACTAAACCTTAAACCCAAATCACTCTGGCTTTCATTGACTGGCCAACAATAGATCCCAGCCTAAGCCTCATTTGGTCATTGTTTGGGCCCTGATTGGCTCACAGTGAGTGTAAATAGCATTTGTTTCTGTTTTGGCCAGAAACCCTGAGGGTCTTCCCTCCTGAAATTGATTTTTTTTTTTGATTAAGTAAAAGAGGCCATTCTTTGCTTCATTTCTTACCTACCTTTTATCACTGCATGGGCCTTGCCTCAGTCAAACTGAGACTTGTTAAACAGGCCTTAAAAAGGCCAAAGTCTCCTACTGCAGAGAGGGCCATCTCCAGTAGTCCTGATCTACATCTTGCCACTGGACCCAGCTGGCTCCATAAGACAGAGTGATGCTGGTGACTTAGCATGGCTCTCCCTCACTTAAATCCAGTTCACTTGCATGTCCTGGCATTACCTCCCTGATGTCACAGACCTCTTCAAGCAGGAAGGACAAACAAGTATTCCCGGTGCTTATCACAGTTCCTGGCATACATAGTAAGCACATGACAAATGCTTATTTTAAAAAATGAAAAAACTTAGTCATAAGCTTAAGTAATAATAAATTTCTGATAAGTGATTAATTACCTCATTAGTTTACAAGGATATATAATTGGTAGTTTATTAGGTGTAATCAATTGCCCTTAGCTAGAACTATAAAAAGTCCACTGGAATCCTTCACTGACAGACACCCTACTACTGTCTCCTACAAAGCAGACTCCTGGATTCCTCACACTTGGAGATTCAAACATTATTCTCTATTTGCTCAAGAGCAGGGATTGACGTAAAGTGCCAGACACTCGGGAAGGAAATACCTAATTTTGGGAGCACTAATATGAGACAAGCTTACCTAGACCTTTAGGAATTAGGCAGGTGGTTTGTTCCTAGAGGAGTCAATGTTTATATGCTCTTTATCAATAAACAACACCCATTAGTGAGTGTAAATCTTATTCATATACTATCAATCCTAATAAGCAAATATAACAGTAAATCAGTTTTGCACATGCACCATACATTACAGATGGTTTGTTGGGTAGAAGCAGAAAGGTGATATTTAGAAGCAAAGGTGATATAGAAAGAAGTTATCAATACTTTTCTTTTAGTAAGAAGGGGAATTGGATGCCTCATGAGGTAGTTCTCGTTACCATTAAAGATTCTTTTTTTTTATGGGAATTTAGATAAAAAATAAACTAACTAGCTAAGTGACTAATAGGTTATCTCTAGAAGAATCATGGAATGGTAGAAATAGCACTTTAATGATTATCTAGTTTAGTCCTCTCATTTTACAGAGGAAAAAACAGATCTAGCAAGGCAAAGTAAGTACTGTGGTTCAATGTCAAGTAGGTAGGGAACAGAAAAGCTAGAATTCAAACCCATTTCTTCTGATTCTAAGATCAATGCTCTTTTGAGACTGTATCTCTCTGCCTTCCTCTTCTCCCCTCCTCCCACTCTTCAAAGTACTGGGTCTTACTCGTACTTTCATCCTTCCAAGTGATTTATCATTGCGGATACTCTCTTCACCAGTGCAGATCATAAACCAAAAGTCTGTGACCAAAAAAAAATTCTTCATCTGGTGGCCAACCATCTGTTGATGTGCCTTTCCATACTTAACTAGGCTGTTCCTCAGAAGACGGACACTATGTGTCATCTCTGGGCCAATACTTGAAATCTTTCCAGACTTATAGTTCCTGACAAAGCTTGTGGTTAGCTGGTATGGCTGATCTTAATAAATATTCATTGATTTAAATAAAATTAAATCATAAACATCAAATTGGGATTGCCCTGCAATGGTGTAGAGGAAAGAGCTCCGGACTTAGAGTCGGGGGCTTATATTCTAATCCACGTTCAGCTAACAAATCTGGGTACTTTTCTTTGTTTTGTGGGTTGCCACAGGTGAAGTATTCATCACCTAGTGGCAAGTCTAGTGGTAATGAACTTCTCCATTTTTTAAGGTGGTCCTTGGAAAATACAGTTTGTCTCTGATACTGTACTTGAAGCTTTTTTTTAAAGCACTGTATAACCTCCCAAATCTTGTACTAGAAGATATTCTGAAATTCCAAGTTTGCTTCTTTGCATCAGAATCCTGGTACTTTAGGCTAGGTACACGTAGGATCTGGAAATGTAGAGCTGGAGGATATCTTGGAGATAATTTAGTCTATCCCTTTCATTTTATCCAGAAAGAAAATGGAATAGGGAAAGAGATGAACTACCACACCTCATTCAGTGACTGAAGTCTGAGGGTTCAAAGCAACCACTAGTGTATTTTAGAATTAGAGGTGACCATAGCAATCATCTAGCTCAATATTGGGTTTTTTTTTAACAGATAAGGAAAAGATATCACCCTTGCCACTGCTCAGTCAGACTTCTTCAAATGTTAGCATTGGTCTAACCATAACAAGTACCCAAAACCAAAATGAACAACCTGGGGAAGTATTGGTTTCTCCCAAACTGAAGGTCTTCAAGCAAAAATCAAATGATCATTCCTTGGGTATTTTTGTATTTTTGTCCAGTGCAAGATTAGACTAGGCAACATGTAAGGTCCCTTTCAACTCAGATTCTGTGATCATTAAGCCTAGCTCTCAATTTTCTTGAGTTTCCAGACTTGTTTTGTTAGGATAATGCAAGGTTTACAAAGTACTTTATATACACTTCCTCAATTGACCTCAACAACTCCCTGCCAGGGAAGTGGCAGCACCTATTACTACCTCTCTTTTTTACACATGAGGGAAGTCAAGTGGTTTGCCACATGCTAAGCTTTGAGATAGAATTCAAATCCATGTCTTCTTGATTTCAGGTCATGGGTTTAGGGCCAGAACAAGACCTTAGGAAGATGACCTAGCCCAACCTCCTCATTCTACACATGAGGGAAACTGAGGCCCAAAGAAGTGCAGTGACTCGTCCCAGGCCACAGGCAGTAAGCAGATGAGCTGGAATCTGAACTCAGCCCAAGAGGCCTACAACCCACTGGAGAGGCTCCGCCCACTCCACCAGAAGTCCAGCGCTCTGGCTGCCTGCTCTCTGCTGTACCATGGTCTCCCAGCCGGCCCCGGGCCCAGGAAGGTGCAGACTGCAGAGAACCTGAAGGCCAGCGCCAGACCCAGAAGAGCGATCGTTCGGCTTCCGGCCACGTGAGGCTGGACCGCAGGAAGGTCTGACGGGCTGGGCGAAGGCATCAGGAAGCCTTGCTACTTCCAGTCCCACACTTCCGCTAAGATGGCCGTCGCTGGCCCCTCACAAAAATGGCGGAAGGTAGGCGGAAGGTTCGGCTCCTCCCCCGCTCCAAACAAAAATGGCGTTGTACAGGAGCTTCTCACGCGCCTTTCGGTACAAGCGGAAGTGACGCGCGGGGCAGAAGCCCGGCTCATGGAGCCCCGGCCGCGGGGCGCACTGTGTGCGGTCGCGATGGGACCGCTCCAGCTGCCGGTTCAGCCGCCGCCGCCGCCGCTGCCGCTGCTGCTGCTGCTGCTCATGGCGCCAGGGGCCGAGCCTTTCGAGCCCATCACCGTGGGCATCGCCATTGGGGCCGCCTCGGCCCTCACCGGCTACCTCTCCTACCCGGACTTCTACTGTCGCTTCGTGGAGTGCTGCCACGAGGAGCAGCCGGTCAACGCCTCCGGTAGCGGGCTGCGGCCGAGCTGGGGACCGGGGCGGCGGAGTCGTGCTCGGGGATCCTGGGGAGGGCGGCGTGCGCATGCGGGGGATCCCCGACCGCCAGGACGGCAGTACTGGGGGGCGGGGGCTGCTGCCAGGCAGGCTCTTTGAATTTCAAGGTGTGCTGGATCGTGCAGATGGCGGAGTTGGGAGGGGGCGGATTGTGGACCCCAATGGGGGTCGGTGGGACTGGGGAGGGGAGGGCAGGGGAGTGAGCGCCAGAGCGAGGGGTATCACAGTGACACGTCAGGTAGAGGAAGGAGTGATGGGGAGAAATGCAACTTTTAAAACAAGAATACAATTACGAATGTCCTGTAGTTTGGGGAGAGGCAGAGAAGGGTGTGAATTGGAGCTGATTAAGTAAAGGGAAGTGGGACGCGAAAGCCTAGGTTGTAATGTTTATTATCTGCACCTGTTCCACAATTCCTTTCTCTTATCTCCCCTTTACACCTGGCTTTAGGTTGCAGGTTGCAGAGGTGTTGGCTGGTATTGCCTTAACGGGAGAGAGCTCAGATAAGACCTTAAATTCTAGATGTCAAAAGAAATTGAAATGGTTGCGTTTGTGAGTGGCAATTGTTATATGTGCTGTCCTCTTAGCCTCCTCTGTAAATGCTATTCTTGGTAAGCGTTTTGTGGGCCAAAGGGAACATTGCATTCAAGAAAAACTGGGAAGAAAGAAGTGATAGTTTGAGTGCTTTGTCTCAGGATGAATCTGACTAATGTGAATGAAGATTTGTGAAAGACGCCTTACAGAAAGTGATTCTGAGTGCATTTACCAAGTGGCTTTATTTAGCATGCGTAGTTGGGCTTTATGGGGCTTATCAGAAACTCTTCTAAGTCATTTGCCTAGGCTAAGTAAAAGCTGAGCCCCTAGTCATCATCCAGATCTGTTTTTAATATGGTTCTCTCTCTTTTTTTCTGGGGTGGTTCATTCAGCACTGAAGTTAGATTTAGAAGAGAAACTGTTTGGACAGCACCTGGCTACAGAGGTGATTCTCAAAGCATTGACTGGCTTCAGGAACAACAGGAATCCAAAGAAACCACTGACTCTCTCTTTACATGGCTGGGCTGGCACAGGCAAGAACTATGTCAGTCAGATTGTGGCTGAAAACCTTCACCTGAAAGGACTCAAGAGTAACTTCGTCCACCTGTTTGTTTCTACTCTGCACTTCCCGCATGAACAGGAGATAAAATTGTATCAGGTGAGAGAACTGATTGCTTTCAGATCCACAGATGCACTACATCCAGTGTTGGCAGTCAGCTAGCTCATGCTTCTTCATTGCAGTACTCCTGATCTCCGTTGAGATCTACATTTCCTAGCCTGTGTAGTGAAACTCTTTCTAAAAATAATTCTTTGCCTCTGGTCCTTTTATGTTGCCTTCTTTTCTATTCTTTTTATGAGACTAACTTGGGAACTTTTTCCATTTCATTTCTTTGAAATTGTCCATTATGTTAAACTTTAAATTGTGTGTTTGTATTCTGTCATGAATAAAAATAACTTCCTGTAGTTCTTGCTTATAAGAAATAGAAACTTAACTGGACAAGGAAGTGCAGTTACAAAGTCTGGTTACCACAACATTCTTTAAGAAATAGAAACCAAGAGGCAGCTACAGTGGATAGAGCACTGGCCCTGGATTCAGGAGGACCTGAGTTTAAAGCTGGCCTCAGACACTTCCTACCTGTGTGATCCTGGGCCAGTCATTTAACCCTGTTTGACTCAGTTCCTCATCTGTAAAATGAACTGGACAAGGAAATGACAAACCACTTCCAGTATCTTTGCTAAGAAAACCCCAAATAGGGTCACAGAGAGTCAGACGTGACTGAGAAACAACTGAATAACAGTACATTTCCCTTTGCTATATTTCCCTTCTAGACTTGTTGAAAAGTATTCAGTGTGTTATTTTATTTATTTTTTGCTTTTTGGTGAAGCTGTCAGGGTTAAGTGACTTGCCCCAGGGTCACACAGCTAAATGTCTGTTATTTTAATGAATAAATCACCGTGCACTTGAACTTCCTCTGTCTATCAATGGGCATGAGTAAAACACAGTATGATATCTGTCTTTTCAAATTGAATAGGGTACTATCTGTAGACAAGGTTTGGTAAAGCCATTAGGTTTTATAGAGCAGAAGGCTTGTGAATATTTCTTTTTCTTTCTTTTTGTTTTTTGGTGCCACCTTGTTGTCCCCTGAATATTTCTTCCAGGAAAAAACGTTGGCAGTTGCACTGAACTTGCAGTCAGGAATGACCTGGGTTTAGAACCAACCTCTGCTGATACCCAGCTCTATAATCTTCAACAAATAATGCAACCTATCTGAACCTCAGTTTCCACATCCATTATAGTAGAAATGAGAAGAATCATGCTTATGTTACTTACCTCAAAGTGTCAAATGTGATAATGTACAGGAAGCACTTTGTAAATCTTTCAAGCACAGAGAGGCATCTTCTAAAGAACCAGGTGTGCAGGCCTTGAGTCAGGAAGTGCATTCAGACCTATTGCTTATTAACTTGTCTTCAGCAAGTCACTTAACTAATGTCTCTGAACCACAATTTCCCATCTGTAAAATGAGATAATACCACCTTTAGTATTTGCCTCCTACAGTTGTGAGATCCACATGAGGTAATCTGTTAAAACGCTTCTGCAAAGCTTAAAGCACCATAGGAACAAGAGCCCTCAATGGTGAGAGCTGGGAGTCCTCTGCCTTCAGCCCATTCCAGCTCCCTCTGCCCCTCATCTCCCATGCAGGATTTCATATTACCTTTTTTCTCTTGGTACAGGAGCAGCTGCAGAAGTGGATTCGGGGCAATGTGAGTGCATGTGCAAGATCTGTTTTCATATTTGATGAAATGGATAAATTGCACCGTGGGCTCATTGATGCCATCAAGCCATTTCTGGACTACTATGAGCAGGTTGATGGGATCTCTTATCGGAAAGCCATCTTTATCTTCCTCAGGTTAGGATGTGGTGCAGAGATTTGCCTTGTTATTCTTTTGATGGGTGGTATGGTACTCAGCTGTAAGGGAGGCTTCTGAACTTTTATCTTTATTCCATAAATGCTGAGATAAGGCCCCTCTGCAAGGCTCTAGGGCCTCTCTGCCTTAGTCTGGTCAACGTTCAATTTAACGTTGACAGTCTGTGAGAGAAGATTGAGTTGATCAAACTGGAAACCCTCTTTGTGCCAGTATGACGGTACGGTGTATGGAAAATAGAAAGTCATAGGAACATAGACTTTGAGCTGGAAAGTACCTCTAGTCATCAAGTCCAGCTGCACTTTACAAATGAGGAAGCAGGCCCCGAGAGAGTCAGGGACTGGTCTGGGGTCAGAACAGCAGCAGAGCCAACATTTGAACTGTGGCCTCTTACCACAGGATCCAGTGCTCTTTCCCTGCGTCAGGCTTCTGTAGCATTTCAGTGGGATTTTGTCATAGTGTATTAATATCATATCATAAGCTTGTATTAGCATGATGATGAAGGGGGTGGGGTTGCCTGCCTACAAAAAAAACCAGCATGCAGAGAAAGAGTGATTATTTACATAACAGAAGGTTGTGGGGCAAAGGGGGAGGGGGCGTATAGAGTATAAAGCTTCTTGCTTTACCAAAGGCCTTGCAGGAGGATTTCTGAATATACACATCCAGGTCCATCAGTACAATATTACAATATGATTTGATAAATGAGAATTAGATTTACCGTTTGTCAGAGTACAACATGAAGTATACCTATACAAAAAAAATTACATTGAAGAGAAAATTTCAACTTTGACACTTGATAGAACCAAGCCTTGAATAAATTTGACATCCTGGGCCTGACAGTGGAGCTTCCTAACATCCAGGACATCTATATTAAGCCAGTCCTTTCTAAGTGAATTAAGGGGAAAACTGCCCAGTCAACTATTAAATATCAAAGTTTTGTAAATAGGTATTTATGAAATACCTACTCTGTAGAAGTTAACATAATGGGAGCCATCTCTAGGGGAGGGGGTGGAGAGGAGGGAGGAAAAAAAATTTACATGATAATTTTGTTGTATATTTGAAAGGAATAGCAAGTTGTATATAGTAGATTTTTCACTTTCATGTGTAATCATCTTTTTTACTGTACTATGTTATGGAAATGCTTGTTTTATTCCATAAATAAAAAATAAAATTTAAAAAGAAGAGAACAAAGTAGGGGAAAAAAGATATAGAGAATAAGCTCCTGTGGATGGGGACTGAGTCTTTCACAGCATCCAACAGAGGACCTTACATATATTAATTGCTTAGTAAATATTTGTTGAATGAAAAATAAACAACAGAAGAGTCCCCTTTACCCTCCCCCCCATCATTACAAAATCTTTGTTTTATGCTGGGTTCTAAAAAGAACATTACTTTAAGCCTTTCTTCTCCTTCACCCCATCCCCCACACTCAGCAATGCAGGAGGTGATCTTATAACCAGAATGGCCCTTGATTTTTGGAGGGCAGGAAAAAAGAGGGAAGACATTCAGCTCAAAGATTTGGAGCCTGTGCTATCTCTAGGAGTCTTCAATAACAAAAACAGTGAGTATGAATGAAGAGCCTTTTGATTTAACCAAAAGCCTTTGCTTCACACTGAATTTTTTTTTTATCTGTGAAATTCTACAATTGGACTTGGTTTAATTACCTCTCCTGCCCCTGAATGAAGCTGAATCAGCATCCTTGCTTTTTATCCATTGATGCAATAAACATTTATTGAGAGCCATTCGATGCTACACATCTGCAAGTTCTTTCACTGGTCAATGAAAATGTTTCTAGAATCATCGAACTTTAGAGTGGATTTTCGAGCTTGGGGATTATCTAGTTAATCTCCTCATTTTACAGAGAAGGAAATGAGTCTGGAGAGGTGACACGACTTGCCCTCCCCATCATAAAGAGCCAATAGCTAGTCAAATCAGGGTTGCAGCTCAGATTCTTGGATACACATGCCAGTGCCTGAACCAAAAACATTATGTTCTCAGTTATTTACATCTTTTCTCTCTCAATGATCTCTTTAATAACTTGACAAATGAAAAAAAATTATGTATAAAATCTACTACTGGGTGAATAAGGAGATGCTGTGATTAGGATTGATATATTCTAACAGGAGTAACTGAAGAAGGTTTAACATGTTATTATCTCTTTGCAGGTGACATCACTAATACTCAGATTCCATTGCTTTTTTAAAGACTATTTAAGATAGGGAGAAGACCTGTGCCTTCATGGGCATAATTCCGAGCTACGGAAACCCTTTACCAATGTAGGTTGGCATTTTCTGCAACCTGTTGTCATAGAGAACTGCTCTGGTTCTGAGAGGCAGTATGTGTCAGAGACGGGACTTGAACCCAGGGCTGCTTGGCTTTAAAGCTGTCTCTTTGCCCACTCCTCAGCTTTTCTTGGAGCTTATTTATTTACCTTCACTGAAGTCCTACCCCCCACTGTCTTATCATCAGGTTAGTTCTGGGTTCTCAAAGGCTGTCAACAGAGACTAAGTTTTGGAAGGTCCTACCAAGATGGAAACAGAGACTAGACCCAGTGATGGACTGGGTCTCTTATTTGATGTGCAGCCAAAATAAATTTGGAATGCCTCATCACCAGTTTGGTCATAGAGTGATGATTTTTCTACCGTGGAAATCCTTGAAGACTACAATACTGAGTTACAGAGAGAATATTTTTATTCTTTTACACTGCTAAAATTACAGAACTTTGTGGTATTGAAGAAGTTTTTATGAGAGCTCAGCCACAGCTTTATTGTCATTCTTCCTTGACTTTCATCTAACCCAGTTGTGATTTGTTTCACAGGTGGCTTGTGGCACAGTGGCCTGATAGACAAGAGCCTCATTGATTACTTTGTTCCATTTCTGCCCTTGGAGTACAAACATGTAAAAATGTGTGTGAGGGCAGAGATGAAATCAAGGGGTTTTACCATAGATGAAGAAGTTGTCACAAGAGTGGCAGATGAAATGACATTTTTCCCAAAAGAAGAGAAAATCTACTCCGATAAGGGCTGCAAGACAGTGCAGACAAGGCTAGATTTTCACTGAGCTCTTGCTACAAGAGAAGCGACCAGAAGATGCAGCCAACCAGGCCCTGCCTTTCTGAAGCACTTTTGAAGACCCTTTTTAGGAGTCTGCGCATTTGCACTTACTGACTTTTAGGAAAGGTAGCTTTCTAAGAAGAGTCGATTTAAAAGACATATCACTAAAGAACTTTGCAGCCCAACTGTTAATTTTCAGTTGAAGGGGGGACTTGAAAAATTTTACTCAAGCTCATCATCCCTAACATTGCCAAAAGTGGCCTTTACAACTATATATATTTGTAAAGTAATTGGAATTTATTGCTGACTCCCTGACACCTGCTGTGCATCAGAATTACTGTCTTAACTGAAGGGAGTTCCTTGTGGCTGGCCCAGATCTATCCAGATAACATTAGGTGTTCACCTGAAGAATTTTAGATTGGATTATTCTGTTTACTTTCTGCTCTTCACACATAGAACATTTATCATTTTCAACAAGGATCTTTTAAAATCTAGAGCACTCCACAACTACAAAGCATACTAGGTGAGAGTATGTGGCCATATGTGCCTGAATCTCTTTAACCCAGTGAATTGTGCCATTGAGGGGACTTATCTCATTTCATAATCAGCCCATAGTATTAACTTAGGAGTGTTTCCAGAGTGGAGGACAGGATCTCTTTGACCTTTTAGTCTGTCTGTTCTTCCTCCTGTGGTGACGTGGAGCACTGAGGTCACCTAATGCAAACAAGGCCTATTGATTCAGTGCCTAGTTCATGATGCTCTCACACACTTCTTCTGGTCAGAAGACTACATTGTATCTGTGAACTTCAGCCTAACATCCCTGAAATATATCTCCAAACCCTGTTACCAAAATCATATCATCCTTTGGGACCGACATGGTTCAGAAATTGGGTCACTTGTTCTAGTAGTCAAACACTTCTCTCTGTTACGACTTACATAAGGGTCAATCTTGAATTTGATCTTTGCAGCTCTAGTGTGAAATGTGTAAGATTTGTTCATGTATGAACATTCCAGTGACTCATGTCACTGAGAGGTCGTTGCATGTCATAACCGGTATTTTCAAAGGCATATTTTTCATAGTTCTGAAATATATATGAGAGGTATGAGAAACTGCTTATTAGATAAAAGAGAAGGTATGGAATGGAGTTATATTTATCCCTTTCTCCATACATATTTTTAAACTCAAGTGGAGTTTGGATTCTTATTACTAACTTTATAGTAATGTAAACAAAAACTAAGAGATCCAATGTGGCGGCTGGTTATGGTCTGCATTGCCATGGGAACCTGAATCCTATTGATTCCCCTACGTGGACTGAGTTGATTGCCTCTTTGAGAGAAGTAAGAACATTTTTTTTTATTCCAGTACATGTGGATACTATAGTTGCAGTGCAACTGGTTAATCGTGCAGCCTTTTCATACATAAGAGAAAGTTATAGAATGAATATTTTTCTATGTTAAAGGACTGGAAAAATTCTAAAGCACCATACTTAGTCTTTTAATAAAATTACCCCCAGGATGGTACTTTCTACGTTTTTAACATATATTCTCAAATTGGAACAGCTGGCTACTTTTATCACCTTGTAGGTGGTTAGTCAGGTGGTGACCTGTTTATTCTGATGCAATAAACTGAACACATTAGTAACCTTAGGCCTTTGGACTGTTGTTTCTGATTTATAACTTTGAAAACCTGCAGGTAATTCTCCTATCCCCTAACCCTCTGTCCTATGGTTTTAAGTGTTCCCTTAAAAGGTGTGAATAAAAATTTAAAACTATGAATAAAAACTAATCAAATACAGCTGAAATTTTATCATTTGATGTATAATGTCTTCCTTTCAGTAGTTTGTTATTCAGCAATTTTTAAAAAGTACTTGTTTAATTCTTTAATTAAACTAGTTCTTTAAACACAATTTTGTTAAGATACTGTAGTATGGGTTGCCACTGCCTGGGAAATAATGACTTTAGACTTATCTTAGGTTCCTAAGGTCTAGAAGTTTGGAGATGAAAGGGGGTATTTTTTCCTAAAAGCCCAGTAATACTAGGCAGACTGGCCATACTGAAGTTGAGTGCAAAGCTTTTTTTCATTCACACAGGGTGAGTGGATTGGGAAATTAGAATTGTTACATCAGAACTCACAGAACCTTTTTCTAGATAAAGTAAGATACTCCTAAAGCTCTTTGCAAAGCTTAAGGTGCTAAACAAATGCTATGAGTAGGAGTAATGTTTAACAGCACAGAAAAGAACTATTATCTATAAAATGTGTGAAAACCTGGTGAAAAACTTAAAGCAGATTACTGATGTTTCTTGATGTCATAATAATTCAGTTACAGCGCAATGTCTTGTACAAAGCATTTTTGTCATGTCACCCTAAGAAGAGATTAATCCTCCTTTCTACAGAAAAGGAAATAGGCGCAGGTGGGTGAAATCCTTTGAGCAGTCCTAGAGCTATTAAGTACCAAAGTCTGGATTCAAACCAGTCTTGGAACTCCCAAGTCTTGCCACTCAACCATGCTGCCTCTTAGCCATATATACAACTCAGAACCAAGAAATTATGTTGTTGGACATGTAAAGGCTCTCCTAAACTCAGGCATGACCTCTGTGCTGATCGGAGATCTGCACTGCTGTTTTCAGATATCTGAAGGGCTCTTTAGTGTGATTTAATAGGAAAAGTACTGGCTTTGGTGTCCAAAGATCCAGGTTTGAATCCCAATTCTATTACTTAAGAACTCGTATGACCTTGGGCAAGTTACATCTCCCCACCCCCAGGTCTGTTTCCTCAACTAAAATAAAGAGGGGCTGGGGGGAAGGCAAGATTAGTCCCTTCTAGCTCACAATCCCTTGGCACTTTGCAGCCAGCTGATTAGATTTGTTTGTAGCAGAAGCACACAGAACTAGAGCCAATGAGCAAAAGTTAGGCAGAGCTGTGCCCTTTGGACATTTGTTTCCTAACATGGCAAAGTAATAAATTCCCTGTTACTCTTTGCATCTTGGTTAAATGATCATCTGTGAGTAAGGTTCTGGAGTTTTGATCTGGGTATGAGGTCAGACTAGACGACCTAAAAACCAGTTTTAAGACTGTGACTCCTAGATGACTCTTTATAAACCAATCCCCTGCTAAGTTCTTTTAAACAGCAAACTATTGTTGTGACTCAGTTCATGCAACTTCCTAGGAACACATTACCGAAAAGAGGGTGTGTCTCTACCAGGCAAAGTATGCTACAAAGATGCACCACAATAATCTCAACCCCTTCCAGCTATCAAGCAAATGTTCAGAATTTTTCTCTTCATTCTAACCAGTAGTTTATGTATCTTAATGATTTGAGAAGTGTGTAAGGCAAGGGCTTACAGGACCTATTTTTCCCTGAAGAAATGTATTGACAAACTAGAAAATCAAATTTTATTGAAAAACCAGTTATTTGTATTTATAAATAAAAACACTATCCTCAGCATCTTTATTAGATGCATGTAAATTTTCCAAGGGTTTGGGGCCAAGGGGGAAGAGGTGTATTTAATCCTTTGATCATAAAAGCAAAAACTGGTCATTGTAGAGAAGGGCTTAAAAATATGGCAGAACTCACCACATACAAACAAGGACAGCAGGTGCATAAATAGTATGGTTGCTCTTCGGGGCAAGGGCATCATGAGGAATAAAAAGTGAGATGGGAATGAATGGAACATGTGATTTGGCCTTCCTTTCTCTAAGTCATCCACTGGAAACACATTCAGGATACAACATCACTTTTCAGTTGAAGAACAATCCTATTTTCATAAACTCACTGTTTCAGTCCTTATAAAAGTTTTTGTTAATTAATAGTTATTGTAGTACTACCATGCTGAACTTCCTTGAAAGGACATTTTTAAGGCTTTTTGCGACATACATACAGCGAATAGCCTCAGAAGTTCATCTCATACATTTTTCCTTCTCTTTAAAATTTCTCAGCTCCTGTGGGCAGGACTGACAAGACAGCTTCAGTTACCCTCTTCTGACAGACTGCTTTCTCCCTGTTCCTGCCCCTGGGCTACACTGATTGAAATCTAGGGAATGCTTTCCAGATCCAGTACTGATGTTTGTTTCTGTACTAAAGACATGATCATTATCAAGATTTTTCTGGTAAACTCTCAAAACCTCAAAATTTAGACTCTTAACGATAATTTCTCATGATATTAAAAAGCATTTTGAGTCAACTCATCACATCTTACATAAAACTTACTTGTCTTTCCTTGAAACAGAAACCTGTAATTAAAACGTGATTTCAAAAAAATCATAGGCACTATTATAAACGTATTAGGTAACAGGTGACTTCTTTCATTGGTGCTGTTCCCAAGTAAGTTAGGGAGGCAGATCCAGGCTTTTGAAAAGGTTCCATGGCTAATGCAGATTCCTCTGAATAAAAAAAGCAAGGAGAAATTCCTTTTTTTTTTTTATAAAAGACTTAAAATTCATTTTCCTCCTCATCTAGGAAAAGGAATTTTGTGGAAAAAAAAAAGCCCAAGTGTTTCCATTTTGAGTACTTTCCTTTTCAATGCAAATAAATGCATCCTGAAATACTTAGTCATCGTAGTAATAATCCAACTTAGTGTATACAGTTTTGCAGCCTTTATCAGAGAAAACTCTCTCTTCTTTGGGGAAGAATGTCATCTCTTCTGCCACTCTAGTTACAATATCTTCATCAACTTCATAACCACGAGATTTCATTTCAACTCTGATGCACATTTTTAGGTGTTTGTATTCCAAAGGAAGAAATGGAACAAAATAATCAATGAGGTTTCGGTCAATTAGGCTACTGTGCCAGAAGCCACCTGGAAAAAAGGAAAATAAAGTCAGTACTGGTGAAGGGTAGTGTTCTTCAGGAGAAAGAGCAATGGATTTGTAGTCGGGACCTGGGTTCAAATTCTCACCTTACATACTCCAGACCTGTGTGACCTTGGGCAAGTCACTTAACTGAGGAAGCAAAGTCTGTTTCCTCATCTGTAAAATAAGGGGGTTGGACTAGATGACCCATAAGGTTGCTCCTAGGTCTGAATCTAGAATTCTTGTCATCAGGGAAAACAAAAAGTCACCATCCCAGCATATTCTTTGGTCCATCAATACCACCACTTGATCCGTACCTCAAAAGATATGAAAGAAAGAGAAAAGGGCCCCACATATAGAAAAAATATAGCAGTTCTTTTTTTCTTTTTTAAGTGGCAGAGAACTGAAAGTACACCCATCAATTGGGAAATGACTAAAGAAATTACGGTACATGAATATAATGAAATAATATTGTGCCACATTAAATGACAAAGTGGCTGGTTTCACAGAAACCTGGGAAGTATTATATGAACTGATACAGAGTGAATTGAGCAGACCAGGGAAACAATCTATACCAAAGCATCAGCACTGTAAAGACAAACAACTTTGAAAAACTTAAGAACTCTGGGCAACGCAGTGGCCAATCCTGGCTGCACAGGGCTAATGTCACCCATCCCCAGCAGAGGGGTGGTGATGGACTCAGGACACAGAATGAAATAGACGTTTTTGAACGTGGCCAATGTAGGAAGATGTTTTGCCTGACTACGCTTATCTGTTATCATTGTATTGTTTTTTTCTCTTTTGTTGTTCTTATTTTCAGTTGGAGAACAGGGAATAGGAGGGAGTGAAAATAAATGCTTGTTAATAAAAGTTTAAAAAAAAACAAGGAGGGGCAGCTACATGGAGCAGTGAATAGAGCTCCAGTCTTGGAGTCAGAAGGACCTGAGTTCAAATCTGACCTCAGACACTTGACACTTAACTAACTGTGTGACCCTGGGCAAGTCACTTAACCCTGACAGCCTCACCAAAAAAAAAAAAAAACCAAAAACAAGGGACAGAACCTGATTCATCAGGTTCTAAAAAGTTAAAATTAGGAACACAAAAATAGTTCTAGATGAAAAAGTCTACACCTCCAACCCACCAGAGCTGTTGTAGCCCAGTAGAATTCCTTTTCTTCCCCAAGAGAAAGAAAAGATTTAATACAAGAAAATAGAAGAACTATGAAAATTGTTCTAAAATATTTATAGCAGCTCTCTTTATGGTGGCAATAACTCGAAACTGGGGGGATGCCCTTTAGTTGGAGAATGGCTAAATAAATTGTGGTATATGATTGTGATGGAATACTACTGTGCTGTAAGAAATGATGAGCAGGTTGATTTTAGAACAATATGGAAAACTTGCTGGAAATAATGAAGAGTGAAATGAGCAGAATCAAGAGAACATTGTGTACAACAACTGCAATACTGTTCAAAGAATAACTGTGAAAAACCAAGCTATTCTGAGTATATATATATATATTCAAATCAACTACAAAGGAACTATGAGGAAGATGCCATCCACCTCCTGAGAAAGAAATGATAAACAGAAGTGTATATATATATACATATATCTGTATACACACATATAAATGTATATGTATGTATATGTATGTGTGTATGTATCTGGGTCAAATGGTGACCATCTCTAGTGCAGGGTGGGGAGAGAAGGAGGGAGGGAGACAATTTAGAACTTAAAATGTAACAAATTACAGTGGAGGGGAAACGGGGGAAGGTAAGAGGGAATGAGTGAATCTTATTCTCGTTGGATTTGGCTTAAGGAAGGAATAACATACACACTCAACTGGGTATGGAAAGCTATCTTACCCTACTGAAAAATAGGGGGGGAAGGAGATAAGAGGGGGGGGTTGGGGATGATAAAGGGGAGGGCAGATTTGGGGAGGGGGTAATCAGAAGCAAACACTTCTAAGGAGGGACAGGGTTAAAAGAGAGAACAGAATAAATGGGGGGTGGGATAGGATTAAG